GATAATCTAGAACACTGATTTTCAGACTTTGGGTTGCAACCCATTTGGCAGTTATAAGTCAGATATCCTGTATGTTAGGTATTTATAATAGAAATACAGTTATGAAGTGGCAAGAAAATAATTTTGTGGTTGTGGGGCACCACAGCATGAGAGACTGTATTAAAGGGTCACAACATTAGTTTGCGAACCACGTGTCTAGAAAATATTGGTAATTAAATATTTAATGTTTCTTTTGTTCTCAGTATTTTATTAAAACTTTGGTTAGTCATTCTCATGTAATGAGTTGAAATTCTACTAAACTACTAATACAAGGGGTTCTAGGGTAAATATTTTATATAATCTAACATAACAGTAAACTTTCAAGGTGAATTAGTCAATGCTTTCTAAAGGAACGGAAATGTTACAGTGGATGCACATATTAAATTAGGATTTACTAGACTGGGTCTTAGGGTACTGGTCAGACAATGAATGATTGTCTCCCACTAGATAGGCTATCTGTATGTATGTGAGTGCATGTGTTTGTGTGCCCCTTCTACCTTGTTTGAGATGGGGTCTCTGTTGTACATTACTTTGTAAAGCAGGAGAGCTGTCCCACGAGTTTCTCAGGATTCTCTTCTCTCTGTCTCCTGTCTTCCTATAGAGATTACCATGCTCTTCATGGTATGCACAATGCATGCAACAGTATGTAGTTTTTGTGCAGGTTCTGGTTTCAAAACCATGTTTTCACATGAGTAGGGCAAGTGTTTCACACTCTGAGCCACCTTGATAGTCCATAACTAAATTTTCTGTATTATTAAGCCTGTTCTTGATTCTCTTTCCCTTTAAGGAATTTCTGTTTTTTTTTCTTTCCTTTTCTCTTCTATTTTACCCTTTCTTTTCTTTTATTATCAAAACCATTGTTTGCTTCAATGGTGACACTTTACTTATCTTTCTGAACACTGTCAATGGAACTTAGTCAATCTGTCCATTTTTTTTTTTGTGTGAATCATGTGCAACGACGAATGAAGTTGTAGGGAATTTGGGTTATCTTGTCATGTGAAGAGTGACAAGTCAAACCATATGCAGGCACAGCATATGCCTTTCTTACCCCTGACCACTCTCAGAAAATAATTATAATAAATCATCAAATGTAATGTATAAAGAATGTGATCAATAAAATGGAAAGATAGACAAAGATTAATTTTTGTTAGGAATCAGTGGAAAATGAATATGGACTTTCAGTAACTGAAGAGTAATTAAATGTGAATTTTACATGATAGTCTTTCTTATCTAAGAATCATGTTGGATAATGAAGTTCAATCATTTATTACATAGTTTATCTACTCTAGATAATGGAATCCAAGGCAGGAACATAAATCATGGCTAGCCAGTGTAACTTGAAAAATTTCAAAACACGTACAAATGCTGAGATTTATTTTTGTGTGTGGGAATAAAGTCTCAATATGATTTTTAAAAATTGAACACATTTGCTTTTATTGTTTTTATTACTTACTAGGTTACTGACAGTTACAGGTTCAAGATAGAAAATTGATTCAGTTCCCCAAGGACAGGAATAAATACTTCTTTAAGGTCACAGAGGTTGAAATCTTATAGTATGTTGTAATTCCATTTCAAATATATCTTAATCAGAAATTCTCTTAAAAACCTTTAAAAAGGTCTGTTTTTATTTAATATATATGAAAATAAATATGATGTAAACATGATGAAATTAATAATTTAATGGATGTCAAATGGTATTCTTCCATCTCTAGAATATACACATCTGTACCATAATAAATTCTAACTCGTATTTCTTTGAAGCAACGTATTTTGAGTGCCATTCACACTGACATCTGCTGAATGTATTTCTCGTGTCACTTGATGAATATCTTCTGAACTTACACTGTGGTTAATTATATTACAATTATCGTTCAGTCTTAAGTAGAGAGACTTCACATGTTAAGTGCTTGTGATTGGACTTTAGTTTGCTAGATTATCTATCATCTATCTATCTATCTATCTATCTATCTATCTATCTATCTATCTATCATCTATCATCTATGTCTGTCTGTCTCTGTCTCTATTATCTATCTATCTATCTATCTATCTATCTATCTATCTATCTACCTATCATCAATCTATTTCCACATATATTATATTTAATTTAATTTTGGTAACTTTTGTTTTAATTTGCATTTTATTTATTGGAATTGAATTATTTTCATTTTGATATATTATCGTTTCAAAACCTCTCACTTTTTAAATAATTACAATGCCAATCTTAATATTTTTAAGAAAGCCATATATTTTTATACAGTGTGTTTAAATATTTTATTTTGTTTTTAGGAATATAAAATCAATACAAATGTAGCCAGAATTTCCCAAAAAAGTAGTAGAAAATAGTCTTCGAAATTGACCTTGAAAATGTGTATTCTCAGACAACAGAGAAAATTTTAAAGTAACATGAAAGCTATCATTGGACACAAAATATATTCAAAATTCTAAGAAAAAGGACAGTGAGAGTTTACTTCTTGGCTTTATCAAACTGAAACAAAAAACATCATCTTATTGCTTTATTGGTGACTTTCATCTTTCTACTATATACATAGTTCATATATATACATACACACACACAGTTCATTTTCTGATAGCCCAGTATATCAGCTACTTTTCTTTGCTATCACAAAAGACTATAATCAAAGGTGAGTTAAGGAAGAAAGAATTTATTTTATTTCATAGTTTCAGAGGGAGTCTATAGTGGCAGTATAGCAGGGAGTTCAGATATCACATCTTCAACATCAAATGTCAAGTAAGAGAAAGAGAGAGAGAACTGGAAGTTGGGTGAGGCTCAGAGACCACCCCTAGTGATGTAATCCTCTGGGATGCTTCATTTTAAAGGCTACACAGTCTTCCCAGATCGGACATCAACCAGAGACAAAGTGTTCAAATACCCAAACCTAAAGTGATGTTTCCCATAAAATGATGACACTTAGTACTTTCTATGACATTTTATATAACACTATTGCCAACATTATTGATTAACTGACATCATCATATTGTTTTAAATTAAGGAGTCAATTATTTATGTACAGGTAGATGTAAAACGTGAATGTGGGGATTCTAAAACGTCTATGGCTCTTTACGTTTGTTTGGACCATGACCAAAACATGTAACAGCCAAAGGCCTGGAGCAAGTATATAAAGGAGCAATCCAAATACTGGAGAGTTGGGGAGAATCAAGTAAGAAAATTATAATCTCAAGAAAACAAAGAATAATATTGAATGAATTTTCCACTTTACAGTCTTTATCTGGAGGACAAGTACCTGACTCTTAATTACAGTTTCCATGGAAAATATTTTCTTGGCTTGAAGAATAGGATGGCGTTGAAAACCAAACTGATTGAAAAGTTGCAGAATGAAGTCCCAGGACAAAGAAATCCAGGGACAACACAGAAATACTAAACGGGGATTCATCCCACAGTTCTGGTTCAACCCTGGCAGTTTGTGCTCAGGGAGGACGTGGAGTAGCTCAGAGAAGCTAAATTAACTGATAGGAGATTTAACTGGCTTTCACTGAAGGGAAAACAAGAATTCGAAATTTGGCTTCAGCCAAGCTAAATCCCTGGATAAAATTTTAAAAACATTTTGGAGGAAAATAAAAGTCAAAACTTTTACAACACGTAATTTGTAATACCCAGGGCAACCATCTGAAAATATTTTCTTTATGATGAATGAGGAAAAGCATGACAAGAGAGACAGTTTCTTTTTTAAAAAAATGGTGAAAATGACTGGATATTATGAAGAAAACCAACCGCAACTGTATTCTCACTAAACATAAGGCATTTAGATAAATAATATACTTAATGTATTTAATTAATAATGTGAAATTTTTAGAAAAAAAACAGGGAAGCTATTGTAACAAATCAGTATGCTAAAGTATATTATGACATAAAAATACGTGATTTTAAAGGATGTCCAAAATTAATAAAAAATAATTAATTATCTACCTAAAACCCTATAGCATATATAATTCTATGTATAAATATACATGTATAATTTTGATGAAATTTTCTCATCTGGGTTGACAATGCTTCCCCACGAGCCAAATATTTTATGAGACAAAGCCCAACACCAGGCTGCAAGAAGTTCTCCTTGGAGTTGTTGGTGTGGCTCGTCCAAGAGACTCCCAAAACATTGCAATCTATTGCTATTACCCTTAATTGATCCTCAGAAGTGTAAAATAAATTCTTATTGTTGAAGGTAGCATATACTTCGAATGTGGGTTCCAGAAACCTCTGAGCTGGAAAGACCTGAATGCCTCCTCGTTAAGAACTAGCTTTCATAATAACAGATGTCACTATGCTGGCTTCAAAAAAAGGAAACAACCAACGTTTACACCCAGCTATGATGCCTATGAACGACTGCAATAACTAGAATGTGGCATAGCAACCTAACAAGCATCTCCTGATAGTAACCTACTCAACAAGAGAGAAATCATGTCTGGTATCAGAAACAGAGTCAACTACCCAGGCCTAGTGAGTTTATAGATCTTGGAGCAGAACCTACTACTGCTACCTTACCAAACCAGTATAATCTCTAACTACATTATAAATATTAGTCCTTAAATCCACAGATAGCTGTACTCCCTAGAAAACCAGAACCAATCAAAATACAAAGTTGTGGAGTCGAGTCCCAGTGGATACATCAAGTAAACAATCACGATGGCTAAGGCTCAGGGAACACTGCAGAGGAGGGGGCATTCTAACAACCAGAAGAACAAGGAGTTTGTTAATGAAACTGGTTCTCCTAGTGATCTCAGAGGCAGCATTCATTAAGTCTGACTAACATGATTGTTTAAGCAAGAGCTGAATGAAAACAACATACGAGCCAAATGGAAAAGACCATACGTCTACAGTCAATTAGGGGATTCTTAGGGTGGAAGAAGTGAAAAAATCATCAATTAATGTCCAAAACATAATTGGACTAGCCTTGGAAATATACAAAAAAGCAACATAGGAAGAACGTTCTAGTAGCTTGAGGTATCGGCGGGAGCTGCCGAGTAGCGCGAGCAGCCGTTACCAGAGCCGGAGCTGCCGGTTAAACCTGATCAAGATGACAACTTCCCAAAAGCACCGAGACTTCGTGGCAGAGCCCATGGGGGAAAAGCCAGTGGGGAGTCTGGCCGGGATTGGTGAAGTCCTGGGCAAGAAGCTGGAGGAAAGGGGCTCTGATAAGGCTTATGTTGTTCTTGGCCAGTTTCTGGTGCTAAAGAAAGACGAAGACCTCTTCCGAGAATGGCTGAAAGACACGTGTGGTGCCAATGCCAAGCAGTCCCGGGACTGCTTTGGGTGCCTTCGAGAATGGTGCGATGCCTTCTTGTAGTGCACTCTGGGGACTCCTCAGTTCCCCCAGCCACAGAATATAGTCTGCAGAGTCGGCAGCTGGGTGGGGCTCCTCCCTGTCCCCATGAAGGAAAAGATTGCTGTTGTCACAGTCACCTCCTTTGTACTCCGGGGTCTTTTGGGAGTTCTCTTCCCCACAGCCTTTCATCCATTTTGGAATTCTTGCCCTTGCATGCCTTGCCCCTCCTCCCCCTGCAGGTCGATGGCAACAGCTACCAGCTTTCCTGAATGGATTTCTGGCCCCTTTCTCCCTCCCTTCACCATCTGTTGGATGCCCTTTGGCTCCCCCCCCCTTTTTTTTTTGGCAAAAATAGTCACTCTCCTTATAAACATTTCTAGACTAATAAAGTCAGTGGCCTTCCTAGTTGGTCTTCTGTGTTGGAAAGCAGGTGGACTGGGATTGTGTCTTCCCCAGGGTTGAACACATCTACCTCACTTCTTATCAGTGCAGACCGAAACTGGTGGCTTCCCTTTCCCCTCCCAAGAGGGAGCCACCCTAGCCAAGTGGGCCTTGGGCAGGTGCCCTAGGTGTCCCAATTCCTAAATAATGTGGGAGAGACAGTGGGTTGATTTCTTCCAGGGAGCCAGGTAGGCTGTAGGCTTCCAGATGTCAACAGTTGGTCAGGCAGCACCTGGTGGAAAAGTCAGTAGGAGTCAGAGTTACCAGGAAGGGGGTGGATAGGATGTAGGTAAGAGGTCTCCTGCCAGTCATCAAGTCATGTGCTCTCCGCCTCTGGGAAGAACGGGTGGGACACTTGCTGTTTGTCCAGCTACCATAGCAATGAAATAGTTAAACATGAAAACTAAATTCCAGTCCAGCTGTTGTCAAGCTCGTGAACAGCCTGAAACTGACATCTTTGTAAACATTTTTAAATTATTTCATTTTGGAGAGGTGAAGAGATTTGGGGCTCAGAAAAGCAAATTTGCCCATGAACTTGCTGCAAGAAAATAGCCACTTGAACTCAGATTGTAATTTGGTAGACTGTTCTGTCATGGAACCAATGACCTCTGAGGCTCAGCTTCCTCATATGGGTGAGGGCTGCGGGGACCAGGTACAATTCTGCTTACACTCACTCCTGCTTGGTGTTCTTTCCACCAACAGAAAGTGTCACTGATGGGGGGGTGGAGCCTGCCTCAAAGTGAAGTGTCAGGCTTTGTTGACTCCCCATGGGAAGCCTTGCCCTTTCTGAGGAGTGCAGGGAAGGGTGGAGAGGGAGTGGGAACGGGGGTGACTATGTAAAATGAGAAAAAGTTGTATTTAAAAATTCTTAATAAAAGAAAAAATGTAAAAAACATCCCTGAGCAGTGACTTGATAGTGCAAATGCAGCTCATCCGAGTGCTGACCCCCCAGGAGAGTGAGGGTGACGGCACAAGACGAGAAAATCTTCATGATCTCACGGTGAAGAGAATATTAATAAGATGGTCTCTGTAAATACTAGAAAGTTAATCTGAAACTTGAATAAAGAGATGGGCACAGAGTGAAAAAAAAAAGCAACATAGATCCTGACCAGGTTACATTTAAGAATATATGTACATATATGTGCATGTGTGTGTATGTGTGTGTGCATTCATATAACAATAATTAATGACAAAAGAGGCCCTGAATTTGAAGGAAAGAAGGGAGACATATATGAGAGGCTTTGGAGAAAAGGAAGGGGAAAATGATGTAATTATATTACAGTCTCAAGAATAAAAGAAATAATTTTACAAGGTAAATGATCTTAAAGAAAAGTTATACACTTCTGTGCATTAAAATATATCATGAAGGAAGTGGATATATGAAAAATACAGAGCAAGCAAGCATTACTCAACCATTGAATCTGTCTTCTAAGATAGTAAACATATAGGTATTTACTGCAAATAAACTTTTCTATTTTTGAATTTTTTTCAGTATTAAATGATATAAAGTAAATGTTAGATAAAAATAATAATTCATTCCCAAAAAGCCTTTACAGACTTAACTTTTCCTTCTTGAGTAAGACAAGCTGTATGTTAACTATGGATATTTTCGTCACCAGTCACAGTGCCTAAAAAGGAATGCAAATAATTGGTTCTTGAAGATCAATGAAGTCTAGTCTTAAAACATGCAGGATGCATGCTAGCACTTGGAGAAGACCTCTTAAAAAATTAATAAGAGCCCTTTAAAGAAAGCTGAATTCATACAAAGAAAAAAAGACATTAAAATTGTGCCTGCATGTTTTGTGTGTCCTGCACTCTACACTGCTGATCCCTTTGGGATCTGTGAAATAGTAATCCTCATCTCATCTCTAAAACCTATTAGAATGAATTGCACAGATGCTCAAATGCCTATTAAAGGGAAACATTCTGATGGCTATTCCTGACTTTCCAACTCTAATTAACAATCCAAAACCAAGAAACTTCTTATTCCATTCCACATATTCATACTAATGGGATGGCACATATTTCATATTTAATCGTATTTTAATAGACATTATTTTTAAGAGTCTGGAAAGATGGCTCTCAGTAAGTTTGAGCAATTGCTGCTCTTGCAGAAAACGCAGATTCAGTTCCAAGCACCCACATAATGGTTTACAAATCTTCTGTAACTCTAGCTTCAGGCAATCTATGGCTGTCTTCCAGACACCTTGGGCACAACATGAAGAGTACTCATGTGAAATACTCTCACACACAAAATAAACAGTAAACCTTACAAATTACACCATCATAATTATGCCACTGAATTAAGGAAGGAATTAATATTTACATATTTACAAGCTAACTATGCTCTGAAATTTCTAAAGATAATTTATGTATAGTTTTACAGAAATCATAGATTAAATACAGGAGTAAAATTGAAAAAAATATAAAAGATATCTTTAGAGAAAATGATTGTAAAATATTTCCCTTAATATGGGTTTTATTTTTCAGTTCTTGTGAACTAACACAATAGATCCAGCAAGATAGAAGTTCCCTGTCCCTTTTATAAAGCTCAGCTTTATATAAAAGTGGGTTTTCTTTCTCTGTTTTATGTTCTTAAAATCCAAATAATTTCTAACTATATTCATGTATGAGCTTTTCATTTTTCTTCTAGCTCTATTTTAAAGAATAAATGGTTCCTTTTTGAAAATGTTTACCGACAAGAAAAAATGTAGCTTCTTTAAACTCAGAGTCCTATATTTTATATCATATATTTATGCTGAACTTGAAAATTTCAAGACAATGAATAAAATATTTAAACTTCAATTTCTTGCTCACTATCATCATTCATTTCAGTATGCCTTAATAAAGGATGGAATGAACAAAAAATAAATATATGCATGTATCATTGAATGTTTCTTGATCAATTCTGATATCTTTGTATCAGATATAGATTAATATCACATGTATAGAAAAATAATAACCTGTGATTAAGTAGATAGCAAAGGAATATGTGATTTGGCTCCAACTAAGTTCTCTGCCCTTGATTTCTGGCATTATATGCAAACTCTAGGCTATGTGAAGTATTTTCTCAGTGGTTATTAGAACAAGTTTGAGCTACTTTGCAGCATACTTCTTTCACACATTTAATGTTTTTCAAATTTTCATATGTTCTTTCTGTCCTCATCCAAGTGTATATTTGTGCTAAAATGTTTTAAGAATGGAAATGATTTTAGTAAAACATAAGCACATCTCCCAAAAAAGAATGCATCTATTCATGGCCTTAAGATATTCTACATAGAAAATTATATCTATTTTCCTTTTCTATGAAACAAATCTTTAAAAAATATAGAAAGGCATCATGTTAAATCTTCCTGATAGAAAAGTCTGTGTGTGTGTGTGTGTGTGTGTGTGTGTGTTGTAGCAGGCTGCTTGTTGGTATCCAGCTGTTTGTTTCCGGTTGCTTAGCCCTGAAATAATCACACAGAAACTGTATTAATTAAATCATTGCCTGGCCCATTTACTCTAGTTCCTTTTTTTTTTTTTTTTTTTTTTTTTTTTTTTGGTTTTTTGAGACAGGGTTTCTCTGTAGCTTTGGAGCCTGTCCTGGAACTAGCTCTGTAGACCAGGCTGGTCTCGAACTCACAGAGATCCACCTGCCTCTGCCTCCCCCTCCCGAGTGCTGGGATTAAAGGCGTGCGCCACCATCGCCCGGCCATTTGCTCTAGTTTCTTATTGGCTAACTCTTATATTAATATAACCCATTTCTATTAATCTGTATATAACCAAGTGACTGTGGCTTACGAGGTAAAGTTCTCATTGTCTATATCCGATAGTTCCATGGCTTCTCTCTGATTCTGTCCTCTTTTTCCCAGCATATAATCTAGATTTTCCCACTTACTTCTGTTCTGCCCTTGCCATAGGCTCAAAGCACTTCTTTATTCATTAACCAATAAAAATTAGACAAATAGACAGGAGGACCTCATAGACAGAAGGACCCCCCATACAGTGTGTGTGTGTGTGTGTGTGTGTGTGTGTGTGAGTGTTTGGGTATACGACAGGCAATTAAATAATTAATATGCATCATAATGTTGAAATTATGAATATGAGTAATGCATGATCCATATCCTTATTATCCAAGTTCAAAGACAAAACTACAAATACTTAGATTTTCCCTTGAACTCAATAATTTAAAGTATCTGGATAGAGGTATATATATAAAACGATAAGGTAAAATATTTTGTATTAGCTTTGTTTTAGAGAAAATTTTGAGAAAAAGAGCACACAGAGCCATAAGTGAAAATTGCCCCAACTCTCACACTATGTAGACTTGAAAATTTGCTCTGGTAGCCAGAGTAATATCCCAAATAAAAAAGTGTACAGGTTTTAAACCTCAGAATCTGTGAATATATCTTATTACATGACAAAGAAAAACAAGCTCCAAAATGGATTTAGCTCTGCTTGTTGGCTGACTTTAAAATGAGAGGTTGTCATTGGTACCCTCTTGGGGTCAGCCAGTATAATCACCAGGGTCCTGTAAAATGAATAAGAAGTGAGTGTGGATGTCAGACTCCAAAAGAGTTTGGCAATTTTCTCTGTTGGTTTGGAGGAAGTTACCACAAACCAAAGTGGGCGGGCACCCTCTACCATCTGGAGAAAGCAAGGAAAACGCTCCCCTCTAGAGTCCAGCCTTTCCAGACTCTTGGTGGAGTTTGAGCTGAATGGTTTGTTTGTTTGTTTGTTTGTTTTGAATTGAGTGAGAGTGAATGTAACA